ATTCATTAGAAATAAAGAATAAAGAATAAATTAATTTATTTAATTGTGAACATGATAAAATACAAATTGTTAATTAAATCATATTTGATTAAATTTCATTCTTATAATTCAATAAAATTACACAATAAATGTGAATATTTCAAATAAAATAAAACAAGAATGAAATATGATAATTTTTATATTCATCATTTCATTTATTGATAGATGAAATGTTCATATTCATTTATTGATTTTATTTTATATTCTTTTTAGTTTTTATATTTCAAATAAATAATAATGAATAAAAATCATTTCATTTCAATTACAATAATTCGTTGTGGTGTGAAATATTCATTTCTACAAAGTGTATTTCTTATTCCTTTATATGAAAATGAAATTTGTTTACAAAATGATTTTGTTTTTTTTTTCTTTATAAACACCAATATCACATAGATATCAAAGTGCAAACAAACCACCATCTGATTGAGTATATAAAATAAATGCATATTGTTGATATTTAATATCAAATTTCATCATTCCTTGTATTCTTCTTTTTGATTTTAATGAAAATAAAAATGATTTTGGATCATTTATATCTTTATTAACTTTATCAATTTTACAATTAACATATCCTCCAAATTTATTTCCATTTGTATCTTCAATAATGAATATTAAATGTTCTTTATTATTATTCTTTCTTTAAACGGTGTTGTACATCTATTCCAACTGTCAATATTAGAATCAAATATAATACTTCTTATTCTTTTCTTTTTGTCCATTCTTCTATTTGTTTCATTTCATTTGTTTTATTTGGTTTATGTTCTTCTTTGATTTTAATAATATCATTCTCTAGTTCTTTTGTTTTTCTTTCTTCTTGGTCTTTTCTTTTATCTTCACACTCTTTCCTAATTATCTCTTGTTCATTTTCTTTTACTTTGTTTTCATTTTGATTTGATGTCATCTTATTGTAGTGATGTTCTTTGTTTATTTTAAATTCTTGATATTCCTCAATATTTCAAATGAAAATACAATAATAAAATTGAATATTAAAAGAATATGAAATTAATAAGAAATGAGATGAAGTCAATTTGTCACTAAACAATTCACTTATTTGTATTTGACTATAATGAGAAGTGATTATGTTCATGTTTCAATACAATGTATGAATATTGTAATGTTTATTTATAGAATATATTCAAATGAAAATTCATAAAAAGGAACTTTTTAATTTATCTAAAAAAGAGAAAATTGAGGAATAAGATCTGAAATAGAAAAGAATTAATATAAAAGATCAAGAGTTTCATCTCATAAATTATCAATAATCAATTCAATGACATCTAATGAGAAATTTGAGAAAATCGCAAAAGAAATAATGTCATCAACAATAAAGAAAATAGTTAGATTTAAATGTAGTGATAAACCAGCAAGTAGATACAATTGTAAATTAGGAGGAACACCTTATTTACCAAAAGGATTTGAATATCCAAAAGACTTAACTACTGGGAAACCATTGTCTTTTCTTATGCAAATCAATTTTGAAGAGTTTGAAGCATTAGAAAATTATCCAACAAAAGGAATTTTACAATTTTATATTTTGGTAGATGATTCATATGACTATGGAGTTAACTATGAAGATATAACAAATCAAGAAAAGTTTAGAGTTGTTTATTTTGAGACAATTGAAAAAGATGAATCTAAACTACAAGAAGCACCAATTATTGAACGCTATAAGAGAAATAACCCAATACGAACACCTTGTTTATTAATTCCAGAACATGGAGAAATGGGAATTTCACCTAGTTGTTATCAACTTGATAATGCTATTGATAAGTATGCAATGAAATTTGAACTAGATGATGAAGAAAAAGGTGATTTGAGTGATTATCTTTATGACTTCTTAAATGTTGAAAATGATATTCATATTGGTGGATATTCTTCATTTACAAAAGACGATATTCAAGACGTAAGTGATCAAGGGCTTACTGAGGCTCTTCTTCAAATAGGAAGTATTTCTGGAGCACCAAATAATTTAGAATATATAATTTGGGGAGACTCTGGTATTGCTAATTTTTATATTAGTTTGGAAGATCTTAAGGCATGTAAATTTACTCGAGTTGGATATGTTTGGGATTGTTGCTAACACTTTTTAATTCATTCCTTTTGAATATTTTCTATTTGATATTCTACAAGTTCATATTTCAAAGATAAATGAAAGTTTGTTTGAATAATAACATCAAACACCAACATAAATAATTCAAAAATGAATTGTTTGTTTAAAGTTATGTTAAGATAATAATCAGTAAGTTAAATAACTTTTCATTTAATCTTCTTTTCTTTTTCATGATTCTTATTAATTGGTATGAACTGAATGAACATGTTTTCATTTCTATTTTATTTTTATTATATCTTTCTTTATATTATTCACTAATCTCTAATCACTCTAAGTTAAATCTTATGAAGTTAGCTTTAAAAATGTCTTTTCAACAAAAAAAATAATGTAGAATTTACTTGATTAAAAAAACTGTTAAATTGTTAATAAGCAATGTTTGTATTATGAACTGTATTAATATCATTTATAATCAAATAGAACAAATCATTAATTATTATGTGGATTATGTTATTTTAATTTAATTTGATACAAATATTATTTTTAGTTTAATTATTTTTATTTCAATTTACTGTTATAATAATTAATGGTTATTTATCATTATACTTATTTTATTTTTATACAGTCTCATGTTATTATTAATTGATTTGTTATATTCAATGTATATATTAATTATGAAATGATTATAATATTATTATTTTATCTTTATATTTAATTATAATTGTTTTATTTTATTATATGAATTTCTATTATTTGGTTATAAAATGCATATTTATAATGAATAAACTCATTAAATGATTTGTCTATCAATCTTATTCTATTAATTTTAATTTTAAATTATTTAATTATCATAATTTGAAAATAATATTTCCTTATTTTATTTAATAATTGGTGAATTATCACGTAGTTTATGTATCTCATTTTAGTATTCTTGTTATTATATTATTCTTTTATTTTGTAATGATTGTAGAATTTAACATTATATATTGTCAGAATGATGAAATATTCATTTATATTAAAGTTTGATGAATATTTAAATATAGATAATGAATGAAGAATAAATGTAATTATAATAATTTATCATTATTCTAATCTTTATCATATTTATATTATTATAAAATGAGGATGATAATAAATAATATGATTATTAATATATTATAAAGTTATTCTGAACCAA